CAGAAATTGCACCCGTTATTCCGCATCCATATCATAGACGTCCTGTGCCTGTTAGCCGCACTCGAAACGACAATAAATATCCATTGTGCATCTTATTCATCTCCGATAAGATCACGGCAGCCTTTTATCGAAGCAATGCTCGCACACAGCTGTTCAATGAAGTCACTTCAGTTAAGAACGATAGCATTGAAAGAGCTCGTACAAAATCGAATCTACGATGGGAGATGCGCAACCGAAAAATGCCGAGACCGTACAGCAGAGGGTAGTGTACAAAGGGTGTTGTAACACCTTTATTCAAAATATTTATGCAGTTGTACTCATCGTATTTGTTGCCCTAAAGAGGGCCGTTGGGTCACAATTATTGGCCCTGAAGAGTACGTTGGGTTAGAGCTCTTCAGTGTCCGAAGTCATCATAAAGCTTTGTTCTATGTAGAAAGCGCTGAGACGTATATGCGTCCATGCCGGTGATGGCCTCCAGGTGCTCGCGATAGGCGACGGCGACTTCGTAAAAATAAACTACATAGAATATGTTCTCAATACTTTCTTTTGCGCTCGTTTTGCTTAATTTCCTTTTTACAGTTTCACCAAGAAAATCAACACCCAAAAGTCGAAAAAAACCCGAACCAAGAAAACCAAAAAACCCAAATCCAAAGTCCGTCCTGTGCTCCCCCCCTCTCTACCCTCCCCCCCCCCCGGTCGACGTTTTTGGGAGGTGAGTGTCCGGCACTACCACCTTCACTTTTGGGGGGCCCGGCTCCACCTATCGCACCTCTGCTTTCAGCCTGGCTTGATGTTGAATGTAGCCTTGGCTTGAACGAGGCGTTCGGGAGAACAAACCACTGATGTGACGACCTTCCAGGCTCCGACGAAGGTGAAGGCACCGAAACGTTAGCCTGATTGAATAAAGCGTGCTACAATCTTGGTGATCGGCTCAAGTAAACATATACGAATGTCGACATAAGCAGATCATTTTGTTACCGCGAGTTCTGCTTTAGCAACTTGCTCGTACTTGGCTACGAGAGCGCGATCAGAAACGAGTCAAACGCTTATTTCTGCCTCCATACCTTTGATATACTAAATATTGCAGATACTGCTATTTTGTGAAAGGTTACCAAGACTTGAGTTTTTTGGGAAAAGTCAGCTGAAGTCGAAAGGCTCTCCTTGTCCGATTGCTTTCAGAGATGTTCTATCTAGTTTTTCCTAAACTTGTTGAAATGATTTGAGTAAGATATGAGAACGAACAGCAAAGACAGCAAAACTTACTGATAACGCAGAGATAAATCGCAGCACGTTCAAAGTCCGAATATCGAACGACAAATTTTTTTTGAAAAAACTCAAATTCAATTATTCGATATTTTTAATTTTCGTTTTTGATTTTTTTTATATCCAATTATTAGGAAAAAAATTTCGAACATTTCAAAGTATAGCGGGCGCCCGCGCATCCATCAGTATTTGGGTGTCTTGTGTTGACTCTTAAAATTTGCAGTTTACGTAACGGATTTTTTGACCTTCCAAACCCAAAAGTTACAATTGTGCTGTCAAACACAAAATCTGTCGTAAAGCGTAAGCTTACAAAAAACGCTGTTTCATTCTATACAACGAGTTTTATGTCCGACATGTCGAATACAGCGATCCTCAGTTTTGAATGGTTTCCTTCCTTCCTCTGTTATCTAGAGCGGTTTTGTTGGCAGAATTGAGCTAAACAATAGCTGCATTTGTAGCCTACATTTTATAATGGGGGAGGGGAGAGAGGGAGGGGGGAGCTTTCTCACACGAGCCATAGTCTCCACCTAAGTGATGTGCCTGCCAAGCAGATTTTCGGAGTCGCTACACTTGCGAGCTCCTCAGAAGACCAATCCATCGCAAGCCTCGATCACATTATCCGGGGTCGCTCCATATGGTGGAACTGGAATTTTAAAGAAAGTTTGAAAACCCAAATCCAGAAGTAAATCTACTCCAGTCAAGACCAAATTTCGGATTTGGAGATTTTCGGTGCCTCTTTTCAGTAGTCAGATTTGTTTGTTACAAAGTCAACGTTTGGACCGATGATGCTTAACCTAAAACAAAATTTGGATTTAGAGGTATTCGGAATTTTCTACTTCAAAACAAGACCGAAACTCAAGTTTAAGGGTTCTCGAAACGCTTTTTCGATATCGATATATGTATTGTGCACTATCAATAATAATTTGATTTTTTGAACAATTTTTGTTCAAAAATTATAGACAAAAAATATTTTTTCTCACAAAACCGAATTACTTCCTTAGAATTGAAATGCCACCTGCAGAGATACGCATTTAATTCCTTATGGGTCTTCTTTCTAAATTCACTTCTAATTATATGTCAAGTTACAGCCCTGATAATGCCTACCTTTCAGATTTTTGTACAGAAATTTCGGAAGCCTAGATCTATTAATCATGGCTAAGCACCATCGGTTCTGAACGTTGGCTTTCCAACAACAAATCTCACCACTGAAAAGAGCAACCTCGAGAATCCCTATATCAAAAATTTGGTCTTGACTGAAGCAGATTACTTTTGAATTTTAGATTTAGAAAGTTTCTTTTAAATTCAAAAATTGGTCTTGACTGGAGCAGGTTACTTCTAAATTTTAGATTTTGAAAGTTTCTTTGAATATCCAGTTTCACCATAGGGAGCGACACTAGATAAGGTGGGCGGAGCTTGCGAACGTCTTGATCTTTTGAAGAACTCATAATTATAGCGACTCCGAATGTGCCTAGCAGGCACATCACCTAGGTGCGAGACTATGGCTCAAGTGAAAAACTTCTTCCACCCTATTATAATTTATGAAGTTGTTACAAAATCAATGCACGTCTTTTGAATCATCTCCAAATTGTATAAAATCTTTAGCTGCACTATATTTTTGTTGGATCGCAACCACTGTAAAGATTTGTGAGCTCTTAAATTCACAGAATCATTTTTAGTAATCTATAGTTTGAGAAAGCTTGATTTGCTCTCGTACTATGATGGCTTAAAGGCAGTGTCTCACCAAAGTTGAGGTCGCGGAGATCTTTACATATTCTATTATAGGGACCTCTAGATAGGCCATTGCAACAAGTCCCACTCAATTTGACCCCCTCTACGCTGAGAAAAATTCGCTCAAAGTGGTACGCGGAGAGGCAGTTGGTACGCGCGGACGACTCTTTCGGTCTCCCCCCTTACGCGTTTGAACATGTCCCTCCACTTGGCATCCACCTCCCCTCTGTTGCTGCCACTGTGGCTGAGCCTGAAGTTGGAAGGTACAACTCGTCCACGTTGCTTCCGCGGGGCCTCCAGAAAACGGGGTTTTTGGGAACTTCGTGCGATTTTAAGCCCATACAGTGCTAGACAGGGTCCGACAGGCTTGCAAAATGCAAAAATTTTGGCAACTAAATTTTGGTGAGACACTGCCTTTAAAGGCAGCGTTCAGGCAGATCTGGATCTATGGGGCTTTTACGTGGAAAGTACTTTTGGGGCTAACTAAGGCACTGCCTAAGCGGCAGCTCAGGTAGTGCTGTAATGGCTGAGATAATTTCCTCGGAACTGGATCCCGCGACCGTGTTTCGCATGGAATCATGGCGCAAAGCGTGGATCCTGACGCGAAAATGCCATGAATCCATGCGAAATACGATCACGGGGTCCAGTTTCTAGAAGAATATCACAGCCTTTAAAGCACTACCTGCGCTCCGCTTGGGCAGTGCCTAAGTTAAGGCCCCAAAAGTACTTTACAGGTAAAATCCCCATAGGTCCAGATCTGCCTGGACGCTGCCTTTAACTATTCTCATTATGTAGTGGATAGTCGGTTGAGCAATGTAGTGAAGGTTGAATTTCACGGAATTCTTCTGCAAAAATTTCTTCAAAAAACAAAATTATCCACTTTTTTCAGCATTTTGGAAAATTCAAAAAGTTGCATTTTTCAATAATTTCTAATCTTTCCTTCTTTGAAACTCGGAACAATTCTGCCTTTTTCCCCACTAGTTGTTCCACAGTAGTATCAAAAAAATTACAAATGTGCACCATAGAGGAGAATCAAATGTTGCTCTGTTAATTAGATAATTCAATTTTTCAATCATGAAAACAAACAAATTGTAGGAACGCTGGTATTTATTTGAACTTTATTGTTAGTACTGACAATAACTTCCACAACATCCATGCCATCTGCCGTCGTAATCATAAAGCATCCTCCTTCAGACATGATGCTTACAAAGTCGCTAATGATATTTAATCAGAAATATGACATCCCATCCTCGAGCGCTTCTTTGGATCTTGCGCCGCGTTCGCAAACGTGTCTTTGATCATTTTCTTATGCAAGCTTGGGAAAGGACTCAGAGGCAGCTTCAATCATTGACTAAGGGTGGAATATTGTTTAGTGAATACGTTTGCGACTGTGCAGCTCAAACGACGCGGTAGCGCGAGACACGCCGCTCAAGTTGGGATCATTTCAAATGAGGCAAAGAATGCAACATTTCTTCTCTATTTGTATACAAAGAATCATTTGATAGATATGTTTGACGCCAAGGACAACGAAGTTGTAATTAAGTTGTTGTTTCAATTTATGTTTATCAGCTTACATCTCCCCTCTAGTGCTACCTCGTCTCCCTCAGGGCCAACGCTGCCTTAGTGTCTTTATCAAAATAAAAAACTTTTCACAAACTTACCCTACTCAGCAAAATCAATTTCTGAGGTATCGTCTACTCCCAATGTTAGGCTGCGTGGAGTCTTGACGAGGCTATTCTTGGCAAGGCGATTAATGCTGTGAGGCTATCATTAGTTGGAACTAGTTCTTTCGTAAGCGCGCAATTTTCAAAAGTGAAACTCAAACAAACAAACGGTTTGTTTACAGCGCACAAACAATCACATAACACCGAATACGTGCTATCTTTATACAATATTACTCCAAAGTATATTGTGCAAAATGTATTTATGAGAAGACTTGTAAGCCAGGCATTTTAAAAAGTTAGTTGAGAATCAAGTATTAAATATGGTTTGATGCTGGAGATTTTTAGGTTTATCTGCAGTTGGCTTCGTCATGCTTATAGCAAAATTGAGTGTGTTGAACTATTACTATAGAACTGGTGCGGTGAGTTTTTGTTATGATATTACGTATTTGTTGCTCCGAAACTGGACGTGCCACCGCTACTTCAGCACTGTGTGTCAGCGATGACCATTATGTTCACAGATTTTTGTACAGTACTGCAATTACGTTGAAATGTTGCTGGTTCAGCGCTGGGACTCTGAAAGCATAAGCGCAAGGAATCTAAAAGAATAAAAGGATGAAGGATTAGGCGTTTTCAATACTCTCTGCGGGGCACGCGCCGAACGCACTCTACTTCATAGTCGAAGAGTCTAATGAATGCGTACGGGCCTATTAGAGTGACCTGCGGGGGCCAGCCAATTACCAAGACAGTGCCTATCTTCCAAATTACTCTGGTACCAATTTACCAGCCCTAAAAAGTAGAAGGCTTAGTTGGCCCAGAGGCGGGATCGAACCTGCATCTAATCTGGTCATAGCGGCGCTTCATACCTTACGCCAATTGCTCCCTAGAAAAATACGGGAGATGATTCATGTGCATGTGATACTTACTGCTCTGTATCGTGAAGCATCGATGACACCTCTGCCATATAGTTATGCCTTTGCTCAACGTTAAACCGAAATTGCGTAAGAGTTCGAGCTCCTACTAAAAATTTGGCCAGCGCTTGCTAAGAGTATTATTTTACGAGTGCTCGCAGAAAATCTGTATTGCTGCTCGCTGGCAGGACAGCGACAGTCAGCCTCAAAATTATGCTAACCGCCCGCGAAAAAAACGAGTTTGCGGTCTCTCTGCTCCCGGCAATTTTCTGAGCCTTGCAAAAGCTGAGAAACGTTTGACATCTGATTTGAAAATTACTTCGTACTATGGTGTGTATCACATAATCATTTCGTCAACATCGATAGCTCAAAAAAGTGATCTGAAAGATGATCACATGATCAATTCGTCAACATCACTAGATCAAAAAGTGATTTGCACATATGTTCTTTCAGTCTTCTAATTAAAAAATATCAAGCGTAAAATCAAAAGATGAAGTGCGAGCCAAGGATGTCCCGAGAGTTTTATGTTGAACTCAAAATCTGCATTAACAAAGTTATTACATTAATAGTGCAACCAATCCATAAAAAGTTTTATGACAGAACTGGAAAAAAGTTGAAGCTTCCGTTTCCAGACAAAGGCTTTTTGCGCACTTGACGTTTTTATCTTGACTTCGGAAAACAAAACTAATTTCTCTTTAAATTCGATTAGTTTAATTACGCTGAAGGACGTCGAAGCCAAAGAACCTTCGACAGAACCCTTCGTTCTGCTACTACTTACCCATGGCGTGCGAAAGAGCGGTCATTCCTTGAAGCGAACGACCGATTTGCTCGCATCCACAGCAAATGTGCGCCTTGGACTCATGGGATTATGATAGCAAAGTAGTGGAGCAAGCGGATTCCAAACAAAAACCATGGCACAAGGAAGCTCCAGAGCTTACTATGTTTCACATAGCTATCGCTTCTAGCATAGCTCTATCTTTCAGCAATCAAATTGTCTGAAATCAAATTGTGGTGAACCAATCCAGAGCTTATCGCGTCTCACAAAGCTATCGGACACGCCTTCAGCATAGCTCTACAAATTGGCCCGTAGTAAACTACCGTCAGGGCATCTCCCCTGAAACGGACCGGAGTTGATATCTTGGCGCCTCAGTCCAGCATCCGGCGGGCTATTGATCTGGATGCAGATCGCTTCCTGGACATTATAATCAAGTGCGTTCTTGAAAAAAGAACCACTTGAGCTGGTTTGGTTAAATGGGTAAGCCATTGGAATTACACGCCCGCGGCCGTGGTTCAATTCCGCCTAGCGACACAACTTTTGCTGCATCGCCGGGCAATCTTTGATAGCGGCCACTATCCAATCGATGATGACCGCTATCAAGGATTTCGCCTAGCAAACGTAAAGATAAAACAAAAAAACATTTCGTTACGAAAATTTTGCGACAAAACGAAATGGTTGCAACGTGAATTTAATAAAATGAACAGCTGAGTCCTCGTTTTGGACAGCTTTAAAAAAAACCAGTTAAGTTTACAAAAAAAAGAAGAATTTGTTTTTCTTTGTCTTACTCGCCAAAATCAGCTGTTCATCGATCCTCTCCTTTTCGGGCGCGGTTGTGCAACTTTGCGCCGATTTTGTCCGCAGTGTTAGGCAAATTGCTGCGTATCGTAAGTTACTCAGGAGCAACTTACGAAGATTTTCTCTGCGTTTCCTCTTTAGCACACTATTTCTGGACATCATCGCTCATATCATCTCCCATGACCCGGCAGGGAGATCATCTTCCTGCCGAACTTCACCTGAGGATCACCTCTCAGGTGAAGTTGCATCCCTATAGCACGGGGAAATGGGCGGTCGTCATTTTACTGACAGAACCTCACATGAAGGTCTCAGGGGAGATAATCTCCCATGACCGAGCTTTACTACGGGCCATTGTCTTAGAAGACCTAGAAATGAAAATTTTCGAAAATGGCAAAAGTTGGACAAACTAATAATTAGTGAATCTGGACAAACTAATAATTAGTGACAATCTGGACAAATTGTTGCAGGAGAAACCAAATTAAAATCTTAATTCTTGAAAAAGAAGAAAATTGTGTATAATGTTTCAAGCGCGCCGTCTACTTTTATTTCGAATGAATTTGTGATAACTTGAGAAAACAGCAGGAATCTGACCTATTAATAGGTCGTTTCCAAAATTCTTTCCCTTTTTTCTACCTTCGTTTTTTCTCCATGAAAAGAGTGTGATTGAAATAAACATGCACTTTTAACATACTCGACGCAGCTTTCATCCTGTTACCCTCTCTTTCAAACCAATGTTTTTTTTCACGTTCAAATTCAGTACTTTCGAAATTCTCACTTTAGGTGTATCTCTAAGAAAGACTTCAATTTCAAGTTCCGAAAATTGGAACTATGATTTGCCACTGATGATAGGAAGGAGATAAGCGATTACCGCTTTAGAACAAATCTCAATTGTTTGATTTAAGCCTAGGGCTCGATTGAGATAAGGCCCGTATGAACGTATATCCACAGGGAAGGGGAGGGATTTAAAAGGAATGCGTCATATCTCGCCACTCTAGGTATCGTACTATTTTTTCCTGTCTATATTGATTGTTCACATGTTCTAATATCTAAGTATATGGATGACAGAACATTGCGATACCAACTGAGTTTTCACAGTTGTGGATTCCTTAGGGAATCCCCAAAGATTAGCTTCATTTTCAAAGTCATATATCTTCATATAGATTCAATAAAAATGGTGTGAAACTGTAGACGATATACTATGGCGTTGCGAAACGTGTTTATAACGAAACTAGTGGAAACTGTTATCGAACTCTTCGATCAACCTGTTCACGGATGTGGTTCACTGAAAACTCACAAATTGCACAATCCAATTTTTTTGTCATCCCTAGCAGTGCCACAATAGATCTTCGGTATAAATTTCGGACTTTTTCGTCAACTTCCTCGAAAGAAAAATAACTCTGAAAACAAGGGATGATCCCCTGGAAATTAAACAGGACGTTACACGAAACAGTGAGAATTTAAGCCTTTATGGCAATGTTCTGCCGTTTATTATATTCAAGCATCGAGGTATTAGATTGGTGCAAAAGTAAGGCTTTTTGCGTTACCATCTGTCACCCCCGAGGACGCTGATCAACATATAGTCAGCCTTATGTACTTTTTTTCAAATCTTCTTATAAACTCATCAAAACTTTCATGCTTGCCTCTCCTGAATGTACCAAGGTTCACGCATGTGTTAGCTTGCATGAAGGCCATAAAACAGTACGACTGACCTCTGCCCTGGGGGGTGGATCCGATTACCATGGTTCCGAAGGCCGTCTTAGATGCCTACCTGAGCGATCCCCAGTCGAGCGTAGATGGCTTGTCGTATCCTACCTGGTTCCTTACTTCTGTATCATCATCTGCAACAAAACGGCTTCTTGTTTCAAACTGATCGCTAGTGGTTGACTCAATGTCCATCATTTCAGGCTCTTCACAAAAACTTTGGCCGTTTTCACCCCTGCTCATACTGCTTTCACCTGTAACACGTCTGTATTAGACATATCACAGATCTCTATCAGTAGTTCCTTATTCTTCTCTGCTGTGGCAAAAAAACTCTTTCATCCTCAACTATTCAATCACTTTCTAGAGAGCACCGCATGCATTTTAGTAAAACCCTGTGCCCTTTTGAGCCCATTTTCTCACCCATATAAAATTTTGGAACCAAATTTACAAGTTTCAACCGTTGCCTCCCGCGCAATCTCTCACTTATCTCATATATCGTAATACGAAAGTTGATAACCCTAAAATAGTCACTCCCATTTTAAAGTGTGTGAACCAGGTGTGGTGCCCTTTTCGGGTGAAGCATAAACATTCTCTGGAAATGTCCAGAAAGCTTTTACACGACTATTTTTTTACCGCTGCTTTCCTAGTCCTACTTACTCCCAGTCACTACCAGTCTAAGAAGAACGTCTAAAAAACATTTGGCCTCAATACTCTCCTGCGCAGGCTCATTCATGACCTCGTACTTGCTTTCAGAATCTTCAGGGGGAAGACTATATAGAGGCTTTTGAGGTACTGGGTCTTTAAACCCACTTATAAAAGTTCTAACCGCTTTTCCGTTTATTATCAGCGGAGCGGTAGGCGAAAAAAACAACTTTACCCAATTACGATTTTTTGATCGAGTAGCAAAGTTGATTCGAAAATTACCCAGTGGAGTTTTTGCGTGTAAAAACTGCACCTCTTTCAAAAACAAACTGAAGACACCGAAACTGATGAGATTTTTACAGATAACCTTAGTACAACATCTGTATGGCTTTAATATGTTGGCAATATACGAATAAATCTCTGCCGCGATTACCAACTAGCACTAAATGACGGCTTTTGGAATTCATCTTATTCTGAACGCTACTATCCATAATAACTCATATTCCATCATCGCATAATACCGACATCTATATCGTTTTTATTAGCTGGCGTGGAATTAGATTTCTAAACCATGTTCGATCTAAATTTCGTATACCTATTGTGATTTTGTGTTGTTTTTCAACACTATTCACTTATATTTCTTACTAACCCATATCTATCAACATGTAGCTCAGGTATAATCAACAACTTCTTCTTTTTCAGTTAGTGCAGCCTAATGACTTGCTTATTCTGATTGGCTTACAAAACGCGATAATAAGTTGATATTCTCTCGGAGTCATTGGATTCTTTCAGGAATGTTTTAGGCAAGCTTAATTATCATTCCACCAACTTGGCCTTGCTTTGCTTATTCTATTACTTTAAAAGCATTTTCGTTGGCAAACGTACGACATCTGCACATCTCCATACCTTAGAGTTCATCTTTTCTTCCCTGTCGCATATAACTTATTCATATGCTACTATCTGAGGTTAGTTTAATAACTGTGTGTTTTTGTTTGTTGTAAGGAACGCTAAGAGCGTACTAAATAAATCAAAATAAAACAAAATAAATCTATACTCACTTTCCTTATTTGCTCTGCAATTAATTTTTCTAATTTTCTTTGTATTTTTTCGCTATCTGGCGTTCTCCGTCCCCTTTCTCAACTCTTCTGCAAATGTTCTACCATTTGTTCGACTTTGTCCAACCCCTCACTTATACTCTCCCGTGTACCCTCGAAATACTTTGTACTAACCTGTTTTTTTACTTGAATTGGCTTCCTGTTTAGTTGTCGTCGTGCTGCTGCTCGTTTCGGGCATCTCATCTCATCTTTCATTTCCGCTTGCATGCTCTTATTCGGCGTCACCTCCGCACAGCTCCGCGCGCGTCAAATTCAACCTAGTATCACGAACAGTTCGGCCCCCATGTAAAGGACCGGGTACCAGAAAAGGGGAAAAAGAAAATTTGGATCGTCGCTTCGGTAACGAACTCTTCTTCGGCTAACTATCTACTGCCAAAAACAACAGCAAAAAAAGATCGGAAAAGCATTACAAGAGTATGAGATACATCAGAACAAGTGGATACGTGAGAAAAGAGCAGGAAGCTACACAAAAAAACAAAAGGCGACGCAGCGCGCGCGAGGGTGTCGGAGATGGCAGAAGAGAGAACTGAATGAATTTCGACATGCGTTACCGTATCACCCGCGGCCATGTCCCTTCCACATTTTTGTATTTCTGCAAATCTTCTTACCTTCGTTACCTCTATAAGTCAACCCCTTCTTTCTAATTTACTGGTTAATCCCTTCCTGGGGGCCCTTTGTGCTTGCTGCCGCTCTGCTGCAATTCAAATGTCTGCTGACCATTTCTGCAGCAGCTCTACTTTCCTGTTACTTCAATTTGCTTTAATGAATTCGGTTTCTCAAGCTGTCTCACATGGCTACTCTTTACCTGCTCTTTTTTGTGGCCCTCCATTTCATTTTTTCACTTTTCACAAACAAAATTTTGTGGAACAAAAAGCAAGAACACGACGATAGATTCCAGTAAAATATCGCATATCAGTCAACAAAGGCACTTTAGTAAGCTTGTTAGTGTTGAAGATTTGAGTGATATTTGCAACTTTGCAAATTTTTGTAGTAAGTTGTGGAAAGAGATATATAGTCAGGGCTATAATCTTCGGATACTACTTGAGGGTACCACAAAAATCAATTGCCACGCGGGGCTTTGACCAGATACGCACTTCAAACTTGGGTGATTGAACCTTTACCAATTTGAATGCAGTATATATTAGGTTGTCCCGAAAGTTTTGTCGGTTTTTTTCATCGCCCACTAAAACTCACAGAACACTAATCCACGGACGACTCAGGGACCATTTGATTCATATTTTTGTGCTCCTTCTTACAGCTATATTTGGTCTCTGATCTACCCTGTCTTTGCGATGTCATCGCCATGGCTTTTTGAGCACGTCAGCAGTAATGCCAAAAATTTTCTAATTTTTAAAAATCTTTATACTGATTTTCTCAGAGAGCGCTAGTAACTGTTGATTAAAGCAAACCTTTGGCTACAAGTACCTATTTTAGATTAAGTAAATCACTATCAGATCCGTGATAATTATTTAATCAAGAAAAACCGGGGCTTTTTGATTATGTTTACCATGTAAGATTACCGGAAATTCCAAAAAGCAGATTTTTGAAGCAAATCAAACTCGGTTATGTTGCATAAATATTGTTTAATAAAAAATAAGTTTCAATTCGCGAAAATTTTGAGAGTTTTCAGTTTTTGCTGCAGTTGCGTGTTTCATGACTTTATCAAAAACCGAGACTTTCGAAGAAATAATTTTTTTAAGCTAAATCAGCAGATTAAGAGAATCTAAAAATATGGCCGTATAGTCCGAGAATTGCTTTGTTTGAGCCATACTTGAGCTTCTCCGAAACCATGGAATAAAAATTCAAAAAATTAACTAAACTTTGAGAAGATAAAAATGACGGGTGAAGAATTTTAGCAATTATCAGAAAAAGCATACAGGATTTTGATACGAGAATGTAACCCTAAGAAAGAGAAGGAAAAGCTGCATCAAATGCATGTTCACGTCTTCATTGTGCGTGGTTTTATAATGGTTTGAAAACACGGACAAAACTTTCGGGACAACCTAATACATGAACAACGAAGCAAACAGTTCGAAGAAATGACAAGTCATTAACAAATTGGTAACAATAAGTCAAATCAAAACACTATGAATATCTTGTAAGACTTTCACTACTTGTACGAAATGTATAAAAGGAGACTAGAAAACCTAAGATTGATCAGGAACCATCCATAGGCCATTTGACTGGAACTCGCCAGCTAGATCCCTCCTCTAAAAGGCATTCCCAAAGCATCCGGCGCAGGGCTTCTAATTCACTTGCCCGCTCAGTGCTTAGCGCTAAACTGAATTTACAAGGAAAGAAATGCTGTAACTGGCAAACCGTACCACTATGGCTTGTTTTTCTTGTCGTTGGCGACACTTCTGATCTTTCCTTTCGGCTCTTGCATGGCTTAAGTTGCTGTGGATTGCTACAATCAATCACCGATCTTTTCGACTGAAAGAGACACTGTATTGACTGAAAGACAAAACTCTTATTTTTCTGATGCATAGCAACAAGAGTAAGGCTAACAAGAAACAGGAACGAAAAGAAAGACTACGAAACCAAAGAAATATTCTGATCACTCTCGGTCAATTCACTGGAGGAACTCTGCTCTATCATAGTCTTTCTTCTTAGGCTTCCTTAGCGGACTCACGAAGCTCTGTCAAACTCTTATGTCCAATTAGTCATGTATAAATATGAAAAAGTCAACAATTTTCTCGCCGATTTAGATTGCCCGGCATATTTCACGTTCCGAATACGAGTGTGTGAAGACAAGAATAAAAAAACAAGAAAGACTGTATATGCTGTACCAGGCAGCATCGGCCCCGCGCTGGTATGCCTTGCGGACCCACAGTCGCATGCGATGTGCATAGACGCACAGCAGAGCTCGCGCGCGTCACATCACACCATCGCAACTTGCCACAGGCGTGACGTCGTATGACCGATGCTGGTTGGTTAGCGATATAAAGTTTGGCTTTTTTGCGTGCATATTTAAACAGTAGTAGCACGCTACCAGCACATTCATAGAACTTAAAGAAAACATTTGAATTTGTGTGAAAAGCTTGTTTTGAAATATGAGACTGCTTCAACAGGACAAATAAAAATCATTATAAGCACGTTCAGGATGCAATGGAGAAATGTGGGAAGGACATGACGTTTGCATAGGCATATTAAAAGACTACTTTGTTTTTTTCTTTGCACGCTTTTTCCGATGCGCCATGCGCCCACCTTCCTTAATTTGTGGGCTACCTGTAGCCAAAGGCGCATTAAGACTTTGGCTGAGCTTAACGCCTGTACGTTGCTGATAGATTGAATAGATACGGAAGATGGATAAGTGCATGGCTTAACAAAAGGGTTCTAGCGATATGCCGCTTGTTGATTAGGCTTCTAATATCTGACATCTCTTGTAAAGGCCGTTCGCGCTGTGCTCGAAGAGTAACGCTCTTGCGTTTGAAGATAATTCATGACTGGAAAAAGCACAAGGAAAACTAGCGGCTAGTGCATCAGGAAAGAGGAGCGAAGTACAGTACACAATACAGAACGCAGTACACACCTCCGATGATTGCAAATTTTCTTCCCTATTGTATTGCTCGAAAATCTGTTACGAAAGCTCAAACTCCAGAAGTTCATGTTTAATTAGTGTAAAACTTCAAAAATAATCTTTCTTCAATCTTATGTTTAGAATAAATCTCCAAATATGGCAGACGTAGCCATTAAAAAGGATATCGCGATTTTGAACATTATAAGAAGTGGCTCTGAAAAAGCGAAGTACAAAACAGCAATGGATTCGATGGAGTGTTACGCCATACGAAACAACTACCCGTATTTAGAATTACATGGCGAAGACTTCAAAGCACTATGTGGACAAGATGATGTGACTACATTGAAAAAGCAAAATTTCCATTTTTGAAATTCTGCCATTGTCATATTGTATCAGATTCACATTCACTTTCAACGTCATTGTATCGTCGCCCACATCCTCGAAACCTACAACTTTACATGGGTGTTTCTAACTGAAGGTGACATTGGTGTCGTCAACGAAAAAAAGTAAATTGTTATCGGGTGGGTTTACGAATTCAGAATTTCCTATTTCAGAATGTTAGAAGAATATGTCAAAGAGCATGCCGATATTGTTTTTTATGACAGGTTTTTCAGCTTCGAAGTGACAGCAGGTAGAGTGTTATTTGTTCAATTATCTCACAGCCATGCTGAAGACTGGAGAGGCTTACAAAAGTCACTTTTACAATTTTTAAAATGTTCAATGTCAGGCTCATACTTTGCTAGAAAGTCAAACTTTTCGTTAGCATTTCTTCGTGGATGGGCCGATTATTCATTTCGTCTCCCTAAGACGTTCGGTGTTTTAGACAATGAAGCTATACATGTATGAAAATCCGATGAAAGTGGTCGTATAGATATTGTCCTTTTGATTGAAGATGTGGCTGGTGGAAATGCTTGCACCTAACGCACCGCTTGCACCAGTCTGTTGGCTGCTGTGGAGAACTGCAAGAAATTTCGAAACATTGTCATACTTCACTGTATGTTGTCGAGAAGCAGTGAAAAACGTTACACTCTCTCAAATATATATTTATAAAAGGGTGAGTCCTCCACATATTACAACAGATAAGTATTCATTTTCGCCATCTCAGTATCCTGGTCAAATTAAAAGCAACCGGTAACACATTGAGAAATCACATTTTGTTTTGTTCAGCAAGTATAGAAAAGGTTTTTAATCTACTCAAAGTACGTGAATATGATTAATCTTTTGCTTTACTTTAGTTTGATAATCGACTCATTGTAAGATGAAGCAACAGCACTCAGCCTACAAATTTGTTTAAGAAAATCTGTTACAAAACTAATGCAAAAGACGTGCGAATAGAGCGCATGCGAAAAACGGCACTTGCGATAAATGCCTTGTCGTTTTTAAATTGTGCTCGTATTTTTGTTAGAAGCATGATCCGCGTTGAATAAAGATATCAGGGTGATCCAAAAGTGTGTACACCCAAAGAATAAATGCAGTTCTTTCAAGCAGAAAACCCAGTTGGAAGTCCAAGTTCTGGCATTTGTTAGTACATATCAAAACATCCGATTGAGCTCTACAAATGGGCACTGCCGCATGACGTTGTGCATATAAGCACTCAAAACCAAAGCTTATTACTTCAAGCATTTCTAAACTTCGAGCAGCGCCGCCGCGTTCACGATGATCTGATGGCACCGAAGTATAAAACTGAATATTAGACAGCGTATTATTTATGTCATCAAAGTAACATATGAGCTCACCTTTGACAGCTGTTATTGGATAAGCTTTTTACGCTCTTACCATACATATACAATTTACCTTGATTTTTTTCAATTTCAAAAAATTATGGCCCAAAACATACGAAAGTCTGCGCCAAACATCGCACTTATTCGAACAAAGTGCGTCTTTCATATGTAGAAGAATTTTTGTACATTTAAGTAATCATTAGAAAAGAGCTTGGAAAGCTTTTTCGATTGATATGTCATATGTCCAGGGACTTTGGGGTTGTAGTACCACAAATTCGGAGGCGTTCAAAAAAGTCTAACTGACTTGTTTAAAGCGTTGCTCGGAGGATTGTGGGTGATATGCTGCAAGGTGCTGTCAGGAGCTGCGAAGGACACTTTATACAAAAGCGTTCAAATTGCTGGTGGTTCTTAGTTAATCAGAAAGACATTTTGAAAGTGGTGCCAAAAATTAAGCTGTACTATCACTTTCAGATCACTCTAATATTTTTATCTACGCATTAATATTGTTGATTTTATCAATTTTCACTCTGATTACTCCTTAAACCAGACTAAAATGTGGTCAAGAGGCTGTATTTCTGTTGTAGATTAGCAGCGAATATTTTTGTCTGCGTGGCTTAAGGTTAGCACGTCCATAAGCTTTATGATCTTCTGTTTAAAGACATTTGTAATGATCCTGCAACGGTCAGAAGGTGCTAAAGAATCTTTTTACAAATTTGCTACTTTGGAGCGCACGTGAGCGTGATCAGCAAATCAGGACCCCTACCCTTTAATATAGGCCATGATTTCCTGAGTGAATCATATGGCTTGCACCGACTGTGAACAAATATGGCTATGACCACCTTCCAGGTGCTGCATAAGTCCTGTCCCATTTATTGCCTTGTGTTTGAAACAGCCATTCTAGGAGATTTTCTTCGTAATACAAATCATTTGCACCATTAGAAAGCCTTTTTTTTCTAACGCATATCATATTTCAATGAAATCTCCAGTTTAATAAGATCCCAGGCCTATAAATCCCAAATGGTCGACACACGTTCTTAGCTAGGAAAAGTTCCTGCGAGAAAATCTCCACAATATGCTTTTCAAGTCAAGTCCTTGTGTTGGTTACGGAATAAGGGTGAGACAGTCCAGTATATGCGCAAATTCACATTTATGCGAAAGAACTCTTTAGCAAATTTTGTTGTTGAGGAATAATTATTTGTACAAATGTTGTACACAACAAATAGCTTTCCGTGAATAGGGCAATCGATGAGTCTAATGTTGGAGTTGCTAAAATATAGCAAAAGTTAGCACAGCCTAACCACCAATTTCACCTCTCGTGGGAAGTGTAAATTTTTTGAATTTGAAGGTTGACATTGATACACGTATTTAAATGAGATTGAAAAATGGCTTTGTTTTGTTCGGTCAAAAAAATCTATCGGCGCCGAAGACCCCATGGGCACTTTTGAGCTGTAGGATAGATAAAATTTCTTAATTTCTTCCATCCTGCCATGGCCGCTTCATATGCCTATTAGCTCATAAGAGAGCATTCCCATGTCAAAGACGACAAGTTTGAAGAAGAACGTTGTGAAGTTTTTGAGTTCTTGCTTCTTCTTCAACACATTGACGACCAAACCTTTCTCGGACCAGCCAACATTTTTCAGATAAAATCACGCACATTATCACATTACACAATCTATTTACAGTACATCTACAGTAGCGTTGGAATGCTGGCAAAAACAGTAGAGATTATTTAGAATGTATTTAGATTCAGCATAAAAGAAAATTCCCAGAGTTGATTTGAAACAAATTAGTAGTCATTTCAATGGGAGTCATGGTGTGTCAAGCCTTTTTCGCAAGAAGTATTTTTCTGATAACTAAAAAACTGCTCAACACAAAGGAATTAGGAATGTGGGGTTGATTTTGAAAGGAATTATGATATTTTGAATTTAAAAATCTAACCGGACAGAACTTACGCAGCAGGCTGATACATGTTAAGGTCAGTGACATATCCTACATGTCTTACTTCTCATGTCTCTCTTCTTGTTAGCCATGAGTCTCTAACTAAGCGATTCATCGCGACAAGACAACTGTTACAACATCATTGCATGACGATCTTCTTGCATGACAGTTGTGATCATAGTTGCGATAGGGGGAGTGATGGATCTTACCCCCTTCACTTTATGGCCAAACTCCCGATGACCCTCTTCACCTGGGCTGAGATTGGTATTGTACTCTGAGAATATGATAAAAATCGTTATTAAAAGGTTCTGCAGGCTAAGTATTTCAAACAACAAGTACATTCATAATTAAGAAACGGTACTTATGTTTATTTGTATTATTTATTTATCCTCGTAGCATTCATTTGGAGACAGAAAGTGAGGACACGAAATCAGTTAATTTTTGAGGCACATAAAATCCCTTATATCTCGCGGCACAGAAGACCTAGAAAAAAGTCGACGGTCTATGTCGATTCTCCATGATCTCAGCTTTCGAATGGTATACAGCATGTTGGGGCTTCTTTGCTTCACGGCTCTAAAAATCATTTGCTCCGGTAACCGATAAAAATTAATACATTGATGGAGCTGGGTGGAGCAAGCTAATAGTAAATAAATCCACCCCATTTTTGAAAACTTGTTAGTTTTTTCGCTCAGCAACCTATATACCATTCGAAAGCTCAGGAAAGAGGGATTCGACTAGACCGTCGACTTCTTTCTAGCCCCCCCCCCCTCTACCGAGAGATACACCGCATTTTATCTGAAAACATGGTCATTTTCAACAGCAGATTTCTGCCAAATGAAGATCTAATCATTGCTGGTTAACTACCTATGTTAAAGAGCAAGTCTTCATTAACAAACGTAGACCGTCGGCTTTCTCGTAGAAATCATTTGGAGAGCAGAAAGTGAGGACACAAAATCAGTTAATTCTTGAAGCACATAAAATCCCTCATATCTCGCGGCACAGAAGGCCTAGAAAAACTCGACGGTCCACGTCGATTCTCCATGATCTCAGCTTTCGAATGGTATACAGCATGTTAGGGCTTCTTTGCTTCCCGGCTCTAAAAATCATTTGCTCCGATAAAAACCAATACATTGATGGAGCTGGGTGGAGCAAGCTAATAGTAAAAAATGTGCTGTGGATTGACATCGTTATCAGCACTAACGGGAACGCGAGCGAACGCGTCTATTTAAGCGTGCTTATCGTTGTTATATGTTTATGTTTTTTTAGTAAAAAATGCGCTTTTGGTTGACGGTTGTGTCATCATTATCAGCACATACTCAAAAAAAAACTATGGAAGATTGGTGAAGTTCCACACCTTCACACAAAAACCCGCCCATATCTGAAATCATACTCTGTAAAACTAGTGCTGAAGAAGGTCACTTCCGTGAAATGCTCTAGACTCACCTAATTGTAGAGAATGGTTGGTTTCAATATATCAAAGACTTTGAGGCATTCAGAAGCACAACTGTTATTAAAATATCCTTCAATGTTTTGAAAAGGTTGGCAGTTTGAAGAAGAAGCGGCAGGCAGAATACTTTACAAAATCGCAGATGACTCGCATGTGTTCCAGTTCAACAGCGAGGCAGAAGGAGAATCTTACGCCGACGAATATGTTGTCGACATTGATACAGAGTTGACATTTGAGCGAAAAGCTCTCTATTTCGCACATCAGAAATCCAAGCAGATTGCCTAATTTCAATGAGGAAATGTCCAAGAAACCCATTGTTGATCTTCAGGTTGCTGAAGATTTCAAGGCTGCTAAATTCACGAACATGGGCATGAACAAAATGAAGGTGTTAGTACAAAGCATAGCTACTGCTCTTAGATCCCGACTAGAGTACGAACTTAACTTTGTGCTTCGTACTGCTGGAAGTATCTCGCCTTATATGACCTATAATATTGAAAAAAAACCAACGTGCAGCATAGTATCTACTTTTTTCGGCTAATCCGCAGATGCTGTTGAAGAAGAAGCTGGCTGCTTTCTCGTCAGCTAACAAGACGTAAGCCAGAGGAGGTGGAGCCAGAGTTCGACAATGCCCAAAAAAGTATGCAATATCTACTTCCGGTGTTGCGAAAGCATATGCGATCTGGCTCTTTCGGCTGCGTTCATACTGATTCCCTTGTTCTGGAACTGTTCCCGCACAGTTCCCGCACAGTGCGAGAACTGTGCGGGAACAGTTCCAGAACAAGGGAATCAGTATGAACGCAGCCTTCCCCCATTACTTACCGCAAAAATCTGATGGGCTTACTAGCAAAGCTAGTTCCCGTCCCGACTAGAACGGCAGAGGTGGAGAGGGGATTTGCTATCTACTCTGTTACAGAACTTAACGCAGAACTCGTCCAACGGTGGAGCACC